CGTCGAGTTCGAGATTTACAGGAGAAAGAGCTGATATATATATAATATGTATAATTGCGTAAGCGCGTCTTAAAGCATGCGCGCGTTTAAGACCGCAAGCGTGAGATATCGCGGTAACGACCAAGTGCCGAATTTCGGCTAGTCATGCCCCCTTCTCCCGAGACGACTCTGGCGGGGAGAACACCGAACGCGGGAGACGGTCCTTCCCCGAAACGGATTCGTCATTCGAGATATAGCCGTGTGTATTCCGAGAAGGACAGGTGAAATATACAGAGTACAGAAAGACTTTCACACGTTCCTTTCTTCCACCTCGGGCTTCTTCCATTCCATACAAGAACACACATTCATAAAAATGGGTAAAAATTTATGTGAGTTTTCTACTGATGTAGTACTACAAGAAAAAAATAGTAGTTTAGTGGCCCTTTAAAAAAAGGTATTTATTCTGAAAAATAAAAAAAGGAATTTCGTGAAAAAATGAGCTTTGTGTTATCATCAAAATATGCTATAATATTTATTGTTTAAATCAAACTTTTATAAGATTTTTATTTGAACATAAATAAAACATGTTATAAACAATAAAAAACAAGCATTACAATCAATTTTAGTTCCTTTTTGCTTCCTCATAGAGGAAGTCGTCCAAAGTGTAGTGGGATCACCTGCACCCCAGTGTAGCAAGTAAGGCTGAATTCGTGAAATTTTAGTGAATTTTTTTCACTATGATGATCACATGTTATGATGTATACCAACCTTATTCTTCACTCTAATGTCAAAATACAGTGCACAAAAATTCACTAAAATTTCACGAATTCAGCCTTACTTGATACACTGGGGTGCAGGTGATCCCACTACACTTTGGACAACTACCACAGACAGACTAACGGTCCCGGCGTAATGCCACTGGCTTGAGGGGATAGTGGCATGCTCGAACTATTGATAGATGTCGCTATAGATTCACTCCCCGTAGGTTTAGGTACTTAAAATTAAGGAAATATGGTCGTGGGGTTGTCTGCACCCCAGTGTGGCAAGTAAGGGCTAATGGATCATCTTTATTTTTCAGGTCGCCGTGGGATTCCAAGATGTTCTTTCGGGGAAACTCGCCTTTTTCTCGCTCCCCGTCATTCTCGTTTATCTCATTCTCGTCGACCTTTTCCTTCATTTGTATGTTATCCAACGGTTCTTCTTTTACAATGACGCAGCAATCTCTTTCGCTGTCATCTGATAAGACTTCGTTTACATTTTCATTCGTCTCAGCGTCGGTTTTCGCCGTGATTGCCGCAACCTTTCGACCTCGGTCGCTTGGTCGCGTCTGCGGTTGTCATTTTTATATCCCGATTTCGGAGTCTCTTTTCTCGGGTCTTCGTCCTTATCTCGGACGTATCTCGTCACTTTGGGCTTGGCCTCGTTGTCGTTGCTGTCGGGCATTTCGACGATATCCACGCCCCCTCGCCTCTTTGCCTCAGATGAATCCGCTTTTTTCCACGACGCGTACTTGTTGAGCGGCGATCATCTCGCCGCGTCGCGCTTGGTGAAATTGTCACGACGATTCTCCTCTGGTGCGCTATTTCTTCGGTTCGTGGTTCGCTCCTTGCCGTAATTATTGCGACTCGCTAGCCTATCTGTCGCATTTTGCGCCTCCGTGCGCAATCTCCTTGTCTCACGTTCGTTTTCTAACGTGTCGAGCATCTCGATCATCTCGTTCACGTTGCGTACCACCGACAGTCGCAACTCTCTTGCGATGTCCGCGTCAAAATGCTCGCGCACACACACGGCTCCGCACTTTATTCGCGCACGTTGTTGTAGCACTCCTACGCTTCCGTTTCACTGTCGCCAGACTTCTTTCATCGGTGAGTGGGGATAGGATGGTGTTGCTACACTCGCCTTCCTATGCTCCTGTGCGTGTCTACGCATATCTAACTACGCTCCTATACGTCCCGCCGCTATTTTGTTTACGGTGATCAGGGACAGGACTACGTTTCTCTTGATAAATTTTCTAATCTTCTATGCGTGTTGTACACATTCCTCTACGCTTTTGTGCATCTTGTCACGGTCGCCATGTTTTGCACGAGAAAGAGAATTTAACCCGGCTTTAGTAATCACGCGGGTTTCTCCACCCTTGGCTTCTCCGTTGACCGTGCGTGTGAGAAGACCTGCAAGCCCGTACACACGGTGGCGTAGCCGCGATCGTCGCCTCTACACTGTAACCGGACACGGCTAAGTGACGGCTCAGATTCGCGAAATGTATGAAATTACTGCCCGGTCGCCTCTCGGTTTGACCTCTAACTATCGAGAAGGTTACTTGAATGTGTCGCCTCGATTATTAACAATACTCTAATTATTCTTCTCTGTTTCAGATTCCTGCCCAGGATGGATCATCGCCGTTGCTGAACTTCCCCGGATCCCCGCATTACTGCATACCGGAACAACGCTGGACAACGATGGATCATCGCCGATGGACAAGGTAAGTAGAAAAAAGTATGTTTCATTGTTTTTGAGACACTATTTCTTTATGTAGGGTAGACCGGGGCACGTTGTCACACGGGGCCCGTTGTCACATCAGTTTTATTTAAAATACTAATAACCAGAGGGCAGCACCCGTCATTCCCAAAATGTGTTAGTGTATGCCCATCTTTGGTGTGTTCACAGTGTTGAGATTGCTCCAGCTGTGTTGACGTAAAATCAACTTGAAAGTTTTTTGCAACCGTAAGTAAAATTTTATTGTCTAATATTCAACGTACTGGACATGAAGTTTATGTTTGTTCAGAATAGACCTTTATATTATCTTAAAGTATGTACTTTTACCTACCGCATGCAATACCTAACCTTATGAATATCTCAAACATGTCGGTCATGAGGCTGTTTGAAGTAAAAAAATGCCCTCGGGGCACTTGTCACGAATTTGATGGAAATCTATTGCGAATCTTCGGATGACAATAACGAGTAAAAATATTTTATGTTTAATCACCGACATGATTATAAAAGAAAAAATGTGTATCAATAAGTTGCGCATTCGAGTGGAATTCTTGTATTTAGATTAAGACGAAAACTTCGTGCTTTTTGTACTTTTTTGAAATGAAATAAATGTTTCTGTGAAGGATTTTACTTTTTTACATTGCAGCGCACTATAATATATTGATATTTACGTTGAATACAGTTTGAATAACATTTTGCATGCAATTACATTTGATGTGACAACGTGCCCCGGTCACGGGGCACGTTGTCACAAGCGACCTGTCGTTGTTTATTGTTATGTAACAACTGTAGAGTAACAATCACACAAAATTCGATACTGTCCAATTGAAGCTGAGGGTTCACTCGAAATTTTGGCATATCAAAGTACTCTTAAATATTGAATGTAAAAAATACAAAAAATATTGAACCAAATGTGTGACAACGTGCCCCGGTCTACCCTAAATTAACGATCTTTTATTCGTTAATCAATTTACAAACACTTTCTGATTTCAGGATGGCCTTACAGATTTGATGACCAATACCAATAATTGGTTTTCACAAGATTCGTTTCGCGCGCTAAGATGTTCTACAATTGTGTTATACGCGGCTAAGTGCTCGATTGTATTCGGAGGCTTATCTTGGATACGTCTGTACGCGCGTACCTCCGTCGAGCGACTGCCTCGAGCCTCCGTGCTCACTCGGTCTCGCCGATTCGTCTCGACTTTTTCCCACCACGGCTCGCACTCGCTTCTCTCTGACCCTGAGTCCGCATTCTTACGTGTTTAATTTTAGCAAGTCGAATATTCTCGCTTTACGCTTTACAATTCTGCACCATGCTCGCACTGCGGTACTTAATTTATCCTAATTTCGGCGGTCGCTATCCTCAGATTCTTGATCGTTACCTCCGGAATGATGGTCGTTACCTCCGGAATCTCACTTAGGTTGTGACCGAACTTGTGGTCTCGAATAAAAATAAACTTACTTGTATTGAAATAATACGGTCGCCACTGTGTTTTGAACGATGACACAGAACGTATATGCCTGTCAATAGTAATGACGAATGGCTTCCTTTCTTCCAAAATGATTATCTTCACGCTGCTCAGCTCAGTTGTCCATCAGACAATGTTAATTCAAAGTCCTTCACTCGCGTTCGCGTTGCGTATGAGATATCCGGATAATAGGAAAGGAATATTTAATAAATTGTGAATCTGTATTGATTTAACAATAACACGATATATATTCAGTCTTTGGTACATAGGTACGCATTTGTCGAAATGGAAAGCGTTTCCAATGGCTATCGGCAATTGCCGGGTACGATCCCGCGTTACGAGTCGGATATATCTGACAATAAATTGCCGCGTAACTATCGCTCGCAGTAGATAAGATAATTGTAAGCACGCTATCGCGAACTAATCTTTCCCATGTACGAATATCGCGATCGTTACTTCTCACGCTAAGATAATTCTCGAACACTCGATTTACACGTTAACTTGGAAAGACAACGAAGTTGCTCTCACGAAGTCAATATGGGAAAAGACGACGTTTCACGTTGAAAGTCGGCTTGGAAAAGACCTCGATGTGAAATTTGGTCTCGCTTATATACTCTTTCTGGCTGTGCATTCCCACCATCTCCGCTTTCGCCAATGAGCAGCCAGTTCTATAATGCTCGCTATCTCGCTCTCTCATGCGGTCGACTAGTCTGAACATGTTTCCAGGAACTTCCTCGAAAAGTAAACAACTTCAAGAGTATCATGTTACGTCAAAGGCAACTGCCGACGTTTAATTAAATAAATCTACGACAAAATATCTTTTTGGTCGAGCGACTGCATGTTTTCAGCTTTCCCTTTGGGCAAATAAAATTAACGAATAAAATAATTAAATTGTTTCGTGTTCGGCCAAGGAAACCTTGGGACACGAAGGGTTGCCGGAGTTCGCCCTGACAAGGGCGCGAAGCGTGTTCCTGAGATCGGCGAGGAGTATCAGCAAATAATTGCAGCCTTTTGGTTTTGTGTAATCTTTAATTACCACTCCAATACACACAGTCTTCAAAAATGCAGTTTGAGATGCGTGGTCTCCACGAGCGGAGCACCACGTACAAGAGTTTATGCGCCTTGCGGCGGGAAGGCTCAGAGAGCGACGAGCCGGATTCGGAGACGAGCGCTTGGAGAGTCGGTGAGGAAAATCGCGTTCTCGCTCACTGAGGTCGTCCACTTCACCGTTGAAGACGGCTGGTGGAGTGTATGACCTCCGTTTCGCGCGGCGATCAATCGAGAGTATACTGGTCGCGGCGAACGGTCTATCGATTTTTCGGCTCGAGTCCTACTATGATTCTACCGATTCGTGCGGAGACCGTCGTGTTCCGGGTTCCGGCTTGAAGATGGCTCGGCGGGGAGCCGGGTGTGTTCGTCCCAGGGGGGACGAATCGTATTGATCCGTGATCGAACCGCGTTGCGTATTGCACGAAACCGCGTAAACGCGTGCGCATGACTCTCATGAGTTTGCAAGAATTGAACGGGAGCGATTATTGGGCGACTTTCCGTGGCAGGACCGTTGTCTGAGATCGAGGTCTCATGCTCCGCGGTCAGGGCCGTTGACAGGGATACAGCACCCAACAATTCCTCTCTCGCGAACGGAATTTCGGTTTCTATCCTCAACACAAATGATGAATTCCGTATATCAATATCTTTTACAACGCAATATCATACATACTACATGCCTTACATTAGGTAACGGTTTTCCCTGCTCATTAACATGTGTTGCTAATATCGCGTAATCATTCATTCATGATTCTAATTTCCTTTTTATTTTCAGGTACGTCATTCGGGCATTCCAGGATTCACAGGACTCATCAATATCAATACCTTAATAATGTAAAATAATCATTTTTCCTTTTCTAGGAATTTCAGGCAAAATCATATAAAACGCTTCAAGCGCTCGTAAAATGTGTCCAACGCTGTTGAATACATTTGTAATAAATGAATTTAATGCTTAAATAAAGCTGGCACGCTTATTTCTAAAATTGACATGTTACTGACCTTGGTCAAGGGCATCTTCATATACGTATGTCAATGCAAATCTGACTTCAGAAATCGTTTACTTTTTTATTACAATATGTCCTATGCAATTATATACGTATAATTATCGATAATAATTAATGATTTCGCTAATTTTGGCCAACTTTTGTAATAACGATAAAATTAATGTTTTTTTTTATAAATGTCTCTAGATAGTTTCTCTGAATGACATCGTATCATAAAAAACTTAAAAATGTGATTATTTCAACCTTTGACCTTAAACTGTCAAATTTCTAATTAATGCGAAAGAGAAAATCACCTCAGATATGTCATTTAAGATCATTCTAACTCATATCCATGGTCATTTATCCATCATTGGGCTTATTTTCAGTTTACGCAAAATTTTGCAAAATTCTAAAATATTGATAAAAATGCAAATCAAACCATGTAACTCACTTCTGGGAGTCACTAGAAACATTTTAAGACTGGTCGCGTTCAAATCGCACCATTAACAACGAAGTTAATAATTATGACCTTGAGGGTCTGACCTTGAGATGAGAAAAACTTGAAATAATTAAAATTTTGAAACTTTAACGGTGTAGGCAGTTTCTTTAGCTTACTAGAAAATGTTTAAGACTAGTCGCACTCGAATCGCCCCATAAATGGCGAAGGTCACTCTAAGATCACTTGATAAGTGAAATCTCGTTCTATCGAGAAATTCGCTGGTTTTACTATATAAGCATGTTATTTAAATTAAAACAAACCATTTGAGATCAATGAAATAAAAATCGGCCCATAAATGGCGAAGGTCACTTGAAGGTCATCTGCATAGGTGAATTCTCGTTCTAATGAGAAAATTTTTATTTTGACACCATAAATGGTTTATTTAGATCCAAACAAATCATATAAGACTTGAATCATCCAGATCGGACAATAAACAAAAAAGTAGGCCCGACTTGGGGACCGTCGACGCTTCATCAACGTGAGCGCGGGGCTATTATCACCCAGCCGCCGAACCCCGCCTCTCCTGGCGGCAAACGGTGGTCCCGTTCCGCGCCAGATCTCGAAAAGACACCTCTGCGTACAGCCCTGTTGGCGAACGCACACCGCTCCCCGCTTCTGCAGGAAATAGGTAACCCTACCACCAGAAAATTGTACTCCTCGGCCAATAACCTGATAGACAATCAGTCAGGATGTAGTAGCTATAAGGATATACCGCAAAACTCGCTCGACAGCATCGTGCTGGGGGGCAAGTACTGCGACATAGGCGAGGACTTTGTCATTTTGGACAACGACATATACGAGTCCGTAGTCCTGCATAACAAAAATTTCTCGAACAATCTTAAGGCCCATTTCTCGGAGGAGCCCTCAATAATCAACGACGATTACCCCTTAAAAGCGGTAGGTCACCGCGCGGCCGTCACCGGAGGGGTCACAGTCTCGAAAGTTCCGTCGCCCAAGTGCCAAAAGCCGCCCGAGTGGGAGCCCTCGTACTCCACGAATTTCGTGCAGAACGTAGCGTCCACTCTAGTGGGTACCGCAAAGCGGGTCAAGAGTAAAAAACGCGACAGGAGCAAGTCAAAGGAGTCGAAGCGCAGGGACAGTTCGGAATCGCGGCTGGCGTCCCTGGCCGATTTTTTCCGGTCGCCGTCCGGCTCGCGTAAGAGCTCCCTGAATTCACCGCGTAGCGGCGAGCGAAAGAACTCGGTTACCATCAAAATTAACGACTACGACGGTCTGGAGTCGAGCTCCGAGAATTCTATCGGCGGCAAGACCCAGCAGTCCCAGCACAAGTCGCGCATTTCCAAGAGTCTGCTGCGGGTGTTGAATAAGATGAAGACGTGGGGCAGCCGGGACGCGCTCGACGACAAAACCACCGCGGTTAAAGTGGAGTACAGCGTCCTGGAGAACGTCATATCCATCCCGCAATTGAGCCGTCGCGACTCGGGCGAGCAGGCGGGCAACGCCGGTGGGGTCGCGGTGCCCAGGTTTCTTGCGGTGAACTCGCGCGAGGGGATAGACTTCGAGAGCCTCGAGTCGGAATTATGCAATTTCGACTCGGAGCACTCGAACGACAGCTCGAGGTCGAAGAGCTCGTTGGGACCGTATCAGGAAACGACGGGCTCCAGGCACAAAAGGTCGCCGATCGCTTTCGAATTGGACGCGTCGCCCGCGAAACCGGTCACCACCGCGTACCCGAAAGTGCCCAAAATTAAAATAATGCTTTTTTCTGTTAAAAAACTACATGGGTGTGTTCTCAGAGTCATTACTAGTATATTTATATATTGTTACGCTCCGTTCGTTCTTCGAGTCGCGCGCACTCGCGAACGCGTTCGCGTACTCCCGGGATCGCAGAAATAACCACTCTCGTAATTATAAAAGAACTCGGGTTTATTCGGGCTCAGAACGGAATACAATAAAGAGTTCTGGGAAACCGGTCCGAACAAAACGAGTCACCAGATCAATCTGACAGGCGGTAATTAAATCAATAATTCTATGCGTCTCCGTTGTCAAGCGACGCGCTTCGGCTTGAAATTTCTGCGGAGCGGAGTCAATTTCAGCCCACAAGTACGAATGTCTCGGCACGGGCGTAACACTACCCCCCTTCTTCAGATTGTCGTCCCGACAATCCGGAGGGGCAGTTTCCTGACTGGGCAAACTTTTCCGTACGATTCCAGGGTACCGGGACGGCCTCCTGCCCTACCCTGGACTGCTGCCACAGGTTACCGGGCACCGTCCTCTCCTCGGTCGGTCCCAACCGTACTCCGGAAGTCCAGGACCATGTCCTCTTCCTCATAGAGCGAGTTCCCAATCGACATCTTTCGGAAGGAGATACTTTCTCCCTCCTGCCGACTCCAGGGCGACCCCTCATCAGTTCCCTCGCAGGAGATCTCGCCTCCCAACACAGGCTTCTTCTCAGCTCCTGAAGTCGTCGGAGATGTCGCTGCTCCTCTTCTAAATCTTCGGACAAGGGGGGGGGAAAACTTACCGTGGACCCAACGTCTCGAAAGACTCCCCAAGTCCCTGCCTCAGCATTTGCCCTATGTCTCACGGAAAAACCACGGATCAAACAACCGTGAGAGAGGCAGTCTTCTAGCTTCGTAACTTTGTAACGGCCCAACTTTATTGTCGAACGCGGACTAATTCGTCGGATCAGGAGTTTGACTGAAAGGCCCAGAGACAATAATCAGTCGTAAGATACAATAGCAAGCTTTATTCAATTTGATAATTACAAACCATGCGGAACGCGGGTTAATAGCTGGACGCGGTATTTACAGAAATCGGGAGTGCTTTGCGCACTTGGCGCGGTATACGAGAGAACGAGGGGACGCGGTTTTACAGCTGGACGCGGTATTTACATAGGTCGGTAGTGCATGTGCAGTCGGCGCGGTATGCGAGATAATAATAGACGCGGCTTTACAGTAGGACGCGGGAGTTACATAGATTGGTAGTGCATGTGCACTCGGCGCGGTATACGAGCTACTAATAGACCCGGTTTTACAGCAGGACGCGGGAATAACATAAATCGGTAGTGCCGGTGCACTCAGCGCGGTATACGAGATAACGTGACTTTACAGTGAGACGCGGTATTTTACAGCGGGATGCGGTACTTACATAGGTCGGTAGTACATGTGCACTCGGCGCGGTATGCGAGATAACGCGACTTTACAGTGAGACGCGGTATTTTACGGCGCGCTATATACAACGGAGGATTGCGGGATCCCGGGGTTACGGTCGCGAGAACCCTCGCTACGAGGCCGAGCACGCTCGACCTCGTTATGCCGTGGCCGTCGGGAGTAAGTGCGATGGAATCCGGAGACACCTGAGGACGCTCAGTCGAGGCTCATACTCTGGACCTCGTTTTTGTGTGTCGCCTTGAGATCGGGATGGTAGGCTTCGTCGGAGATGGCTGAAAACCCGTAGGAGACGAAGTGCCGTCTCGCCGAGCGCGCCGGCTTATATATCGCTCGGCGCGGCGAGTTCGGCAGGAGGGAGGCCGATCGTCAGGCAAATCGCGCGGTGGGGGGAGCGGCGCGATCCCGTGCGCTCGTCTTCGGCGGCGATCGGCTCCCGTCGGCGCTCATCGGCGTCGTGCGGAAAGGCACCGGTGCGGTGTGTTCCCCGCGCACACGGTGCGTTTCGGACGTTTAAAAAATTGTGGGCGCACCGCGCCCTGTCCTCGCCCGACGGATGATTGGTCGGGCGGCATCCGGTGGGTGGTGGCCGGGAACGATGCCTTGGCGTGAGGGGCGCATCGTTACAACTTATCCTTCGCCGGTATTAGGTTCGGCAACAAGCCAGCTCCCAAAATGTCCAACTCGGCGAGTAGTTACGACCGCTTCAGCTTCCATAAATTTCTAAGAACAAAATAACACGCGCAGTAAACAATGCAACACAACAATCTTAATTTTTAACGTAATTTATCTTCCCCACAAATTTTCACACCCAACCTAATCTATAACAAACCCTGTTCCCTATCAAACTCTATTGTCTCTCGGAAAAGAAAGCCAACCTATCCGCATGCACAATTTTCTTCTTATGTCTCACAGACCTTCGAATACAATAGACCACATCATTCAACTTTTTCACTATTAAGAAAGGTCCTTCCCAATTGCTCTGCAATTTAGGGGCTCTACCTTACATTCTTCGAGGATTATAAAACCAAACTTTTTCCTCTTCTTGAAAAAGAGTTTGCCTGGCCTTTTGATCATACCAAGACTTTACTCGTGAAGACTTTACATCCATACGTTCCCTAACGTTGGAATGGATCCTATCCAATTTTTTTTCAAATTCCCAATAAAACCTCTAACCGACAGAGATCCTTTCCTTGGAGGACTTCCTAAAAGCAGATCTAACGGCAACCTAAGATCTCGGGCAAAATACAGCTCGGCGGGAGTTACTTCAGTAGTCTCGTGTTAAGAAGATCTGTAAGCCAATAAAAACATAGGGATCCAGCGATCCCAATCTTTCTGGTTTTTAGAAATATACTTCGCCAAATAATTAACAATAGTTTGATGTTGCCGCTCGACTTGTCCATCCGATTGCGGATGCAGAGCTGTTGTTCTCGTTTTCCGAATTCCAAGGAAATTTATCAATTCTGCGAAAAGTTTGGACTCAAAATTCTTCCCCTGATCCGTATGGACTTCCAAAGGGACCCCGTGTCTAGAAATGACTTGATTAACGAAGACTTCTGCCACTGTACCTGCCCTAATATTCTTGAGAGGAAAAGCTTCTACCCATTTGGTGAAACAGTCAACAATGACGAGGAGATACTTATTTCCGGAAGTAGTAAGAGGAAGAGCGCCAAATATGTCAATTTGCAATCTTTCGAATGGTGCCCCAACATTATAAATTTTTAATGGGGACTTTCCCTTCCCCAAAGTGCCTTTTTTAGACACGCAAACTTTGCAAGTTTTTCACCATTCCTCCACATCTTGTTTACAGGTGGCTCAATAAAACCGCTTTCGAATTTTTTCGAGTGTTTTATTGACTCCAAAATGCCCTTCAAAAAAAGAATCATGAGCCTCCTCTAGAATCTGGTTAACACAGCTTCGAGGAACAATAAGCTGAAAAATACTCGACTTAAGATTCGGTGCTTCCCACCTCTTGTAAAGAACCCCATCCTTTAAACTCAAAGCATCCCAATAAGACCAATATATCCGGGCGGAGACATCTCCAGCGGGTATTTCAAAACGAGACGGACGTATTCCCGTTTCCTTCCCGCGGTAAATAAAAGCAATGCTAACGTCCTCTAATTGCTTTTTGCGCCAATCTTGAAGAGTTTCTCCTATGAGAATAATACGAGCGACTGATTTTCTTGATTCTTCCATCTGCCTCCTCTCCACTTTGACACATTATTCGCAACCAAATGATTCACATTGTAGCGTCGTCTAGAAAGCCCCATCGGCATTCTTGTGAATCAAGCCTTTGCGATGGATAATCTCGAACTCGTATTGCTGGAGTCTCTTCAGCCAACGCGCCAATTGCCCTTCTAAGTCTTTGAAGGACATCAACCACCTAAGAGAAACATGATCCGTACGGATCAAGAACTTCCGCCCCAAAAGGTAATGCCGGAAAAACTTAATAGAATCGACTATCGCTAAAAGTTCTCGACGAGTAACGCAATAATTCCTCTCAGACTTACTAACTACACGATTGAAATAAGCAATGACTTTTTCTACACCCTCTTGCTTTTGTGAAAGGACTGCGCCAATTCCAATATTCGAAGCGTCAGTGTCCAAAATAAATTCTCCCTCCCCACTCGAAAAGGATAACATTGGAGAAGAAGATAACACTCGTTTCAACTCTAAAAATGCACTTTGACACTTCTCATTTCAAGAAAATTTAACCTGATTCTCTGTTAGAGCATATAAAGGTTTGACCAAAGAAGAAAATCTTTTTACAAATTTCCGATAATATGAGCAAAACCCTAGGAAACTTCGAAGCTGCTTCTTGTTATGTGAAATTGGCCAATCCCTCACAGCAAAAATCTTTTCCGGATCTATAGTAACACCTCCCGAAGAGACTATATGTCCCTGTTCGCGAAATTGCTGATTAATCCCGACAATGGGAGCGGGATGAGAAGGACGCGCGTGGAAGGTGTTAAACTAATTATTACTTTAATTTTTGTGTAACTCATACCACAGTCTGAGCCGTCTTTAATGTGTCAAAGTTGTTACAGTCTGACCTGAGAATCGATGAGCGGTGTATAAAATGAGATGTCTATATAGTCCGTGTAAATGAGAGGCAATTATATGAATTGCCGTCTTCCTTGATGAGCCGGTGAGACACGTGGCGGTCGGCACTCGCGCACGTGTGAGCTTGAGTCGTCGTGTTGAGGCACCAGAGCTGTTGAGCGGTCTATATCACACGTTGTATGAAAGTCTATGCAGCGTGGTCACTGCGATGTGCACGATTAACCGAAGTCACAATGTAAATGTACTGAGCACACGTTATGCGTCTAGTCACCGCGCGGCCATTTGTACAATTGAATTTGATCGCGAGGAAGACGTTGGCAATGAGCGCGCCCGTGCGGGCGCAAGCTGCCGCGGTGATCGAGCGTCGCTACCCAATCGATGCTGCCATCTGATCGGACGGCGCAACGTTAACGAAATCTCGAACAGTCCCAAATATTTTACTTCCTTTGCAAAGAGAATACACTTTTTAGGGTTTACTTTAAGATTAACAGAACGTAACCGTGAGAGCACTTTCTACAAATTCTCCAGCATTTCATTAAAATTTTTACCGAAAATTATTACATCGTCCAAATAAACCAAACAAATTTTATATAATAATCCTCGCAATCTTTCTCCATTAAACGCTCAAAGGTAGCAAGGGCATTACACAGCCCAAAAGGCATAACAGTGAATTGCCATAACCCACGTCCAATAGAAAAGGCAGTTTTTTCTCTATCCTCAAGACGAATCTTTACCTGCCAATAACCACTTTTAAGATCCAGAGTGCAAAACCAAAGTTTCCCGAAA